TTATGGGTACTCTATCGGTCGCCAAAGTCCATCACGCACCCTTCCGAAGTCTCCGAGGGCTTCAAGAAGATCATGGAGACGATGATCCGACTTTGCAAGGAGATCTATGTTCTGACGAGAAATGATCAATTCTTTGGGCACTACGATGAGAGGCTCGACATTGCCTCCTTGGAGGCTCTGGTCGGCGATGACGGTCGAGCCTCTGTCCTCATGGCCGGGCAGAGGACCAATTTTGACCTTGTTGAAGGTGACGCCGTGAAAAGTGGCCCAGGTAGGCAATGCATCAATGGGCTGTTTGAGCCATCCCTCGGTTCTGCCTCTGCGTATCATTTCCACCGGGTGGTTCTGTAGACGGATGTTGTTCTGACGGGGCGTGGGGGGAGTTTAGTTGCAGTCGTCAGGTGATGTTGTGTTTTACAAGGTGCATGTTCAGGGACGGCCAATACGTAAGCGTCTTATCGATACCGTACGTACGAGGCATGTACGTCTTGTATGCTACGACATGTCTACCCACACCACACCAGTGCGGCTGCAGGACCGCTGCAGCCATGGCAATCGGGCGGTGGCACTGGACCCTGCGAGGCCATGTAGGAGGAACGACGGCTGCAGGGAGAAGGCCGACAGCGATGGTTTCCTTAGAGACGAGGGCAGCCCAGGCCTCGAGCGAGGGGCTGCGGGCGGCCAGCTCAGCGGTGCATGTTGCAGGAGCATAACAACGGGCAGTGCGGCGGATGGGCAGTAGGGGAGGGCGGCCGCTCGTGCCTTGTTGTCATGGCGCTCGGGCCAGGCCGTCCAGAGTTGTTGTGATGCTGTTGGCGGGTGTGCCGAAACCATGGAGCGGAGCTAGTGCCGCCGTCCGTGCGCCTGTAAACAACAACAACACCGACATGTGCTTAAACTTGCAACCACTCCCGCACCACGGCCATCTCTACCATTATTCCTTAACCCAGACCGCAGCAGGAACAGCAGACGGCCTTCTCGCCATCTCGCCGCCATCCTCTCCTCCGCCACAGCCTCGCCGCCCGCCTCCGCTGCGCCGCGCCACCGAGTCTGCTGCTCTCGTCCCAAGCCGGCCTCTCGTGACGCTCCGACATCTTCGTGCGCCCTCGCCCATCGTCGCTTCCTTCGGCCGTAACAGGCACGCACGTTGAGAGTCGCCCCTTCCTGCTCATGTCTTCGCACCGCGAGCGGACTTCCAAAATGCCTCGCGCGTCCACGACCAGCTACGGCCAGGTCATCGAGGTGAGCACCAAAACAACCATCAAAACAATGCGCCATTGGCCCAAATACTGATCCCCGCGCCCCTTAGTACATCCAAGACCGTCTCTACCTGGCCTCGTACACGTATGCCCCGGATGCGTCTACCCCATTCCCTTACCCCAAGCAGTCCCAGTCGCCTTCCAAGCGGTCGTCGCGCGCCCATGGCGGCCCTACAGCCCCAGCACACAAGGTGCTCCCGCCCGTCTACTTTAGCATTGACAAGACGCTCTTGTACAATGCTTTCCACGGTGACTTTGGCCCACTTCACATTGGTCACCTGTACCGCTTCGCCGTTCAGCTGCACGAGGTCCTGGGCGACCCCGCCAACGAGGACCGCGCAGTCGTCTTCTGGAGCAACGCCGACTCGAGGAGTAAGAAGACTCCATCTTTGTCGCTTTTGCGCACCAGTTAACATGCCTAGGTCGCGCAAACGCTGCTTGTATCCTGGCATGCTACATGGTGCTGATCCAGTCATGGCCTCCTCACCTGGCCCTCGCACCCATCGCACAAATGGATCCTCCCTGCATGCCCTTCCGTGACGCCGGCTACAGCCAGGCCGACTATGTGCTCAACATCCAGGATGTCATCTACGGTGTATGGAAAGCCAAGGAAGAAGGCCTCTGCGGACTCAAGGACTTCAGTCTGGAGGAGTACGTATGTCCTTGTTGCTTCTGCTCACAGCTGCTAACCTTGTCAGATACGAAAAGTACGAGCGCGTAGACATGGGAGATTTCAACTGGATCACCCCCGACTTCCTTGCCTTTGCCTCGCCACAACAAAAGCCCACACACGAGATCCCCGCTTCCTCGCCCATGTATGCGACGCTTCCTTCCAACATTGCCGAGATCCAAAGATCCGACCTTCCTAGCCCTTTCAAGAACGTACTCTCACATTTCTGCGCGCGCAACGTCGGTCTCGTCGTTCGGTTAAACTCGGAGCTGTACTCGTCCTCGTACTTCACCAAGCTGGGCATTCAGCACCTGAACATGATCTTTGACGACGGAACATGCCCGCCCCTGTCCCTTGTTCGCAAGTTTGTCAACCTTGCACACGAGATGATCACTGTACAAAAGCGAGGCATCGCCGTCCACTGCAAAGCTGGTCTTGGACGAACTGGCTGCCTCATTGGAGCATACCTCATCTACAAACACGGCTTTACTGCCAATGAAATCATCGCCTACATGCGATTCATGCGCCCAGGAATGGTCGTGGGCCCTCAACAACACTGGCTGCACCTGAACCAGGGTACTTTCCGCGAGTGGTGGTACGAGGACACCATGAAGGCCAAGTATGCTCAGATGGTACCTTCCACACCCACAAAGTCATCGCACAAGCAGCGCCTTGCTAGCAACGGACAAACCTTCACTCCCCCCAACGGATCGCAGAAGCGCGCAGCTCTGGGCGAGATTGAGTCGAACGAGCGAAGCAATTCGGGACACATTGGCGTACTAGACGATAACCTGCCTGCGCCGACACCTGGCCAGCCGCGAAAGACTAGCAAGCTTTACGGCAACGGATCGCGGCAATCGCCCCAGCGCATTGACGAGAACGAGCCATTCACAAAGTCGCACACAGAGGTGAGGGCAGAGATCACACGCTTCGACGGCGAGTCTGACGAGGAGTTCCACCTTCGCCAGATTGCGCGACGGACATCGTCGCGTTCGCCCCAGCGCTCGCCTACCCTCAAGGATAAACAACGCCGTGCTTTCAGCACCACGTCGGTCATCCAGACCTCGGTAACGCACACCTCTTTTGGCTACGGCGAAGAGAGCGATCTCGAAAACACCGCACCAACCGGCGCGCGGCCAAAGACACCAAAGGAGAAGAGCGGCAATGGCAGCATCAGCATGACCAAGGTGCGATCAAGCCCTTCACGGCGAAGCACCGACGGAAAGGCCGGTGTACGAAAAACCAGCGGTCGCGTTGGCAGCGTCGGCAACGCCATCTCACGAACCAAAGCATGATGAACGTTTCTGGATTTTCCACTTCTTAGTCTCCATCTCCATCGCAACGGAGTTCTAGCATGGCGCCACAGGACACTACATTTATCACGATTGTGCTCGCTTCGATTTTCTCCTGTCCGAGTCAAGTCATCGTCCATCCAGCATGCCTGCCTGGCTTTTGGCGCTGCAAATGTCTTTATACATATTATCGGGGTCCGGCGTTTTTTGGGGATTGCCAATATGAGCATATTGGCCTTTTGGGATATCTCTGCTTGATACTTAGTCGGGGCCGGCGCATGGAGTGCGTCGATTTCTTCTTTTCTTGTTATTCTTTTTTCTTCCCAACTTTTCCACGTTTTTTTCTACTGTCTCGTCACCTATGGTGGGGGCGGAGTTTGTGTGCCTGGCTTTACTAGTAGTCTTGTCCCTTTTCGCACTTCATTTAGCTGCGGATATGTTCATGACGTGTATGAGTTTCATGATGAGCGTAATTCCAGACTTCTTCGTTTCAAAACATTGTGTTGATTTCTGAGTGGTGATGTGATTGATAAGTTATGTGTTCAAAAGTATTTTCGTACCCCAGTCAAGCCTTCTCATGATGTTCAGGGAGAGCGCACGTGACATGTGTATCCACTTTCCAAAAAAATCCATGTTCTTCACCACGTCCACCCATCTCAAGTTCAACCAGGAGTACAGGGTGTTCCCGTCTCATGTCCGATCAGCACGGGACTCGAACCCGCAACCTTGGCCTTTACTTTGCCTTGCTCTGCTCGATGTAGATGCTAGCATAGGAGGGCCACGCGCTACCATTGCGCCAACCGACCTTATTTGCCATGAAGCTACCTTGTGTGGTATGTTGTAAATGTATCCATGCTGCACTTGGAATTCCTACTTCATGTGAGTTTGGAGAGCCACCAATCGAATCTATTGTTTTTGGTATGTGGGACGGGCAGGGTCTTTGCCGATTTTTTTTTGAGGGGGGTCTCAAGGTGGATAGATGTGGGATGTGGAGACCCTACCTTCCTTGTTCCCTTGTTAAAAGCTCTGAAAACTGATCTGAATGCTTTGCCAATGCGCCACAAAACTCTATCAGCCGCTACTTGCGCTTGGCAAGTGAGGTTTGAGACCAATGCTTGAAAGCATTTTTACCCGCCGCGACGGCAGCATCTACGTCCTCCGGCCTTGAGACTGGTACATCGGAGTTATTCTCTCCAGTCGCAGGATTTATTCCATTTCGAGAAGAAGGAGTTTTACGCAGCTCGTTGTTGATCACGTTGAGATACGGTCCAAAACGTCTATGGTGGGCGTCGGTGTCATTTTTGCAACTTGAAGAATGATTTTTTGACTGAGAAATGGAATGCTTGTGCAAGCAGAGAAGTGTGAATCAACGTGTTCGTTTTTTTGTTTTTTTCGGAAGTTGTGTTACTAAACAACCTCGGCCCTGTATAGAGATATCGGGTGTCGGACGTTGCAACTAGTTACTAGTTGATCGGATACCGGGTTCTTCGCACCCTTCACCCTCTCAATTCACACACAGCGTATTCCGAGTGTTCATGTGCCTGGATAACGAGCCGGCAGTCAGGTGTGGCAAATTTCATATCAGTATTTTAGGATATAGGTCCTTCATGCCTCAGCAGACTTGCAACAACAGAATCAAAACTATCTAAATAACATCAAAACAACATCTTTTCCACCATGGGTTCCATTCCGGAAGCAAATCCCTTCCGCAATCAAGTGGACGAGGCAGCAAGTCAAGGGATAGGAACATCATTCGTCCCAAAGCATCTACGGATTGTGATGATTGGATGCGGGTAAGGTAGAAAATCTGCAACTTGAAAAAACCTTAACATTTTATCAGGCTTGCCGGAATCCAATTTGCACACGACGTGAAAACAAGACTGACCAATTTCGAACTTGACCTATATGAGAAGAACCCGAAGGTTGGCGGCACTTGGTACGAGAACAGATACCCAGGGCAAGAGAGATTAATAACGTTACGATTAGATGCGCGTGTGATGTTCCCTCTCATACATATCATTTCTCATGGGAGACCAACCCGCGATGGACAAAGTTCTATTCCCCATCATCCGAAATTCAACAATATCTTGAGCATGTCACGGAAAAACATGGGCTCCGCCAGTACATGCATTTTAATCACAAAGTTGTTGAAGCAAGTTGGCAAGAAAGCTCGTCCACTTGGGCCTTGGTTATTGAGGATGGCACCGATCTCAGTCAACCAAAGCTCATTAAAAAAGAATGTGACATTTTTGTGTATGGTGGAGGAGTCTTGAATAACTGGAAGTGGCCAGAAATCGAAGGACGCGATGTTTTCAAGGGCAAGATCATGCACACAGCTGCTTGGGATGAATCGGTTGACCTGTCCGGGAAGAAAGTCGCCGTCATTGGAAACAGTGCCAGCGCTGTGCAGTGTGTTCCTGCTATACAACCGTGTCAGTACCTGCCTCCTGACTCAATAAAGCAGGAGACTTGACTAATGCCGTAAGGGGGGGTACAGCTGTTGAGAAGGTTTATAATTACATGCGAACGGCTACATGGATGATTCCGCATATTTTTTCTGACGGAAAAGTTCAGTCTGAATGTTCGTCCTTGTCCACGATTTTGTATAAAAGAGTGACTAACTTTGACCCAAAGTCCCACCTGAAGACGTGGAGCGCTTCGCCAGTGATCCGCAGTACTATTACGAGTACCGGAAAGAACTTGAGTTAAGACTAGCCAGTGGATTCCGTGGACTCTTCAATGGTAGTCCTTTCCGAAAAATCCTTCGGGACATGACGCTTGAACACATGGAAAAGATGGTCACCGATAAGAAGCTCTTGGATGTGTTGATTCCAAAATTTGAGATTGGATGTAGGCGCTTTTCGCCAGGTGATCACTACCTCAAAGCTCTACAACAGCCCAACGTGGAGGTGATTACTTCTCCCATTGTACGCTTTAGCGAGCACGGTATTGTCACGCAAGATGGAGAGACTACTGAAGTCGACGTTATCATCTGTGCTACAGGTTTTGACACGACGTACAAGCCTCGATTTCCCATCATCGGACGCGATGGATACAACCTTGACGAAAACTTTGGCAACCTAGACTTAACCGAAAGTTATCTAGGCCTCTCTGTTGCGCGATTCCCCAACTTCTTCGGTGAGTATCGTATCTAACCAAAACTATTTTTGATCGAGTCAAAAATTGATGCAGAGTGCAGGCTTCTCATTTCCAAACTTTCCGGTCCTCGGCTCAGCACCTCCTGGATACGAGTTGGCAAGCGATTACATTCTGCGCGTCATTGATCGTATCCAAACAGACAAGCTTAAATCAGTCTGTATCAAAGAGTCCTCGCAAACTGAGCTCAACAAATGGGTGCAGTCAAATGCATTGAAGACAATCTTCAGCGCCGAATGTAAATCTTGGTGTAAGTCCATGAACCTGCCAATTCATACCTGCTTGTTATACTGATCACGGTTTGCTTAAGGGAAACTTCCAGATGGTAAAGTCGCGGTGCCATGGCCAGGAACCCATCTGCATTATGCTCAGGCTACCAAGGTTGTCAGATGGGAAGATTATGATCTCACTTTTGAAGATCCAGAGCAAAGGTATGCCAGCTTTGGTAATGGTATTTCGAGCGATGGAATTACGTCAGAAAACATCCCATGGTTGCACGCATCGTAATTTGAGATAGGAGGGAGCTATACATAGCCAGTTTACAAATTGCCAAACAAATGTTTTCATTATTTTGTTCTTTGAATGTCTGTTCACTGACGTCGATGAATTTGCAAAGACATCTTGATTGAAAGCGTGACAACGAAGCTTCTATGAACTAGAGTACAGGAATCTATTTGATTATCAAACACAACCAAGTCCTATCATCCAGCTTGCAATGTAGAAAAGATGTGGCTAGATGTTCTGTAGATTATATTCCATAACTGAAAAGTGAAGAGAGCCGTAAAAACTAACAGTGCTGCCTGACGGAAAACCCGGGAGAGAACAGCCGGAAGAAGTAATGTGCACTTTCATCATTCATACCTCGAACATACAAATTTCATTTCTGCAATCGCACAATATGAAGATGACTTTGAATACTAAAGAGAACAGTAAAGACAACTGATCGATGCTAAAGGAAGAACGAATTCAGATACTTAATCATTGCTAAAATGATCCACGTGTACCTAGATACAATTAAGACCTCTTGCTGGGCTTACGCTCTTCCAAATCCACCAACATGCCTTTTCGTGTCACAATGCCTATGCATCTCAATTCTAGGGGCTTTTCCGGGTTGTGAAGCTTCATGTCAAACTCTCTGAGGAGAGTGCCCACGAGTTTGTGAACCGTTGCAAGCCCGAAGTTCTTCCTAATAAAAGTCCTTGATCCACCACCAAAATGGAACATAGCTCGCTCCATGTTTTTCAACTGATCCGGCGAGCTCTCCAGCCAGCGCTCAGTGATAAGGTCATCTGGACTCTCGAAAAAATCGGGATGGCGCTGCGAGGCCCAGGCGTTAACGCCAACCACCGTGCCTTCAGGATGATGAGGTCTGCCGAATGTCTTGGAGATGAGGTGATGAAACAGTGGAAACAATATGACTGAGCTGCAGGCAACTATTCGATCGGTCTGTCATTCTTTGCCGTCTGGTTATAGGCACTTTGTTCATGGTTTTTGTGGAGATAGTCCCTAGCCGACCGGTAGCCGAAATCCTTCAGTACCCCATACCCGATGTTATTCCCAATTTAGCAGTCCGGCCCCGAAGCTGGGAATGACAATCAAAACGACCCGAGTGTTGGCTACTGTGTAGAAATACTCTGGCATCATCGGATACCAGTCCCGGCTCAAGCCCTATTTAGGTAGCTATACCAACTTAGTGTAGTACCATACATGACCAAGCTCGTGGTCGACTTCTGAAAGTGAATATTGATTTCAAGGACCCATTCCTGACTGATAGCGACAACATGACAACTAACATCCAGTTTGGCCAAGTCCATGCCGTTTAAGATACTATCAATCCAGCCACACAGCTCAAAGATGCCGCCAAGGGCAAAGTGGTCCTTATAACCGGGGCCGGTCGTGGTAAGTGCTACGCCTCTTGCTATTGGGGTTTTGATAGTTAAACGATAGTAGGTATCGGTCAGGCGACGGCAAAAGCATTTGCAGAAGCATCTGCTTCGAGTCTCATCCTGTGCGCGCTGGAAGACTCTGAGCTTAAAGAAACTGAGGTCATGATCAGATCCATTCGACAAAACATCAAGATATTCAGCAGGGCACTGGATGTAAGCAAGGAAAGCAGTGTGTCTGCTTTTGTTGCCGATGCAGCGGCTTGGGCAGGAGGCAGCATTGACGTGCTATGTTGTGTTGCTGGTGTTGCTCCACCAATGCAGGCAGTCACGGAAAGTGAGCCATCGCGTTGGTGGAGGGGAGTGGAAATCAACGTCTATGGTGTTTACCTATTCACACGTTTCGTCCTGCCGATGATGCGAGAGAAGAAAGAGGGCCGTGTCATCATTTTTTCGTCTTTGATCATCACTGGAAAACACCAAAACTCATCCAGCTATTCAGTGGGGAAGATGGCTGTTGCTCACTTGGGCGAATTGATCCACGAGGAATTACACGCAGAGGGCATCTGTGTGTTTTCCATCCACCCTGGTGGCATTTTGACTCGACTGCTCACTGATATGGAGGATAATGAAAAGGGTGAGTGGGCCGCCAGGGCGTCGAAGGTAATCCGACCTATGTTGAAAGATGACATCTCACTGCCAGGCAACAGTTGCGTGTTCCTGGCCACTGGGAAGCTCGACTTCATGAGCGGCAGGTTTATTGATTTCACTATGGGCATGGACCAACTGCTGGAAAACCGGGAGGCCATTGAGCAGCACGATCTATTCAAGATCGGGGTAGGCGCCAACTGGGACTCGGCTGGTGGAATACAACTTTTTAAGTATCAGTAGAAGACAAGAGACGAACTGAGTCGCAGCCAACAAGAATTGATTGTAACTCTTTGACCGTTTTCATTCTTCTTCCAATGTCCTTTTTTCTCGAACCCTAAAAGGGGTAGGGTGACAGCCCGTGGAAGAAATGACTGGGAGTCAGCATGGGCCATACCTCACCAAAATGGCCAAAGTGCTCCAAACGTCCTTTGGAGGTCCAGAAAGGGCGACATCATCGACGCCAAGTAACGAGGTATTTGCGAGTCCCCGTAGTTTCATGCATAGGGTGGTGAATCATGGAGATTGCTTCGAGATCGGATGCTGCGGATCCCGCGCGGGGAATTTCCCCACAATTCGGCGGCTAGTAGTACGGCCCTTGGTGATCCCTACTTGAACCTTATCTTTGTCCCATGCATGTACGTATGCATAGTACCTAGGTGTCTTTTGTTTTGTTTCGAGCTGCAACAATAGCAACAATGCCCACCAAGCCCGTGAAAGACAGCGACCGCCAGCGATGTCTTCGAGCGTGCGCCAACTGCGCCCGCCGCAAGGAGAAATGCTCGGGCCAGGTGCCGTGCACACGCTGCCTGCAGCGGCGTGTCGCAGCGTCGTGTCGCATGTTCACGGGCGAAGCCGTCGTCCCAGCTGCGACGAGTTGCAGTCGCAGTCGCAGTCGAAGCCACACTCCGCCCCAAAACCGCAGGAAACGGAGCAACAGCAGTAGCAATAGCACCAACAGTGATACGAGCAACAGCAACAGCAACAGGAAGAGGATCGGCGTCGGCGTCGACCTGCAACAAGACGGGGAACCGCCGCTGCCATTGTCCCCTGCCACCAGTCACACCCACGCCACTGGGCCCTCGGATGCTAGAAGAGACACCAACTACACACGCACACTCCGAAGTGCAGCTGGTGAACTCATCTATCTGGGCGATACGGCCGATTCCACCCTCCTCCAGGATATTCGACGTCTTGCTCAGGACGTCGTCGGCGATTGCGACTTGGTCAACAACCCTCTCCAACATGACATGTCCGACCCCATTCCACAAGGTCCTGCGCGATGGATGGATTATTTGACACAAGAGGGGCCCCCGAAACCAAGCCTGGATGAGGCAAAGAGCCTCATCAAAAATTTCCTCTGGGTTACCACAAGCTTCCTCAACCTGTTCGACGAAAAGGACCTGGTACAGCCTCTTGCAGCTTGGACCACAGCACCAGTGGGCTGTAAGCAGCATCTCGACCAGGATACCATTTACTTTCTCATCTTCGCCATCGCTGCACAAGCCGATCCTACCGACAAGGACTCTCTTGCCGACAAGTACTTTGCCTACGGCCGCTATCTTGTAGCCTGCCACTATTCCGAGGAGCCAAGCGTTACGGCTGTTCAATCCTACATGTTGATTGCAACATTCCTTCTCGCCGCTGCTCGACGTGATGCCGCATTCATGTACACTGGCCTTGCGGCTCGCGCCGCGTATGCATTGGGGATCCACCATGATGATGTCGCAGCCTCGTTTCCTACCCATCAGCAGAGGATCCGCCACAAACTGTGGAAGGCGGTGCATGTTCTGGACGGTTACATCAGCGTAACTTTGGGAAGGAAACCAGCAAGCCGCCAAACGTATGAAGCAATAGTCAGCAACTATTATTCCTCGTGCTCTGCTTTGTGTCGCATCTTTCAAGAGATTGTCGACGTCGTCTACTCGGCGCAACTGGTTTCGAGCGACACGTTACAAAAGATCAGTAACTATCAGCGAGAATGGACAACTCGTCTCCGCGAGGGCTTGAAGCACGATGAGATTCCCGTCACTGACTTCATTGGCACCAGTGGCCACAAAAGGCTAAACTTGAGCCTCTTATTCATCAAGTCTGGTTACTATTGGTCAATCATTTTGTTATCTCGCCCGTTCCTGGTCGACTTTGCCTCCTCAGTTGCTTCTGCGGCCGAGACATCGTCTGTCCCCGCGTCCCCGCCACCACCTGCAGCCAATCTCATGATATCTGCCTGCGTTGCCTCAGCGATACATCTCATCGAACTTTTCCAGAAGTTGACAAGCGTCAAAAGGCTGCCAAAAAGGCTCCCATTTGTGGTCAATTTGGTTCATACAGCATCTTTGGTTCTTGCTCTATCCGTATTCCTGGATTTTGATCGCCAGGTGCGGATAAGTCGATACCTGGAAGCGGCTCGGTCTATCCTTGTCCTGTTCCGCACTCATGACCCACTAGCAAACTGTAATGTGATCATCAACGAACGTTTGCAGCAATGTTGCAATTCCTACATCGAGAAGAGAGAACAGAAAAGCTTTGATCGCCAAGGCCAGCTCGTTGCTTCGTACTTTGGGAGTCTGGAAGAGCCCGAGACGCTGAATATTGACGCAGCCTCCTTCCCATTTCCCAAGGGCGAAGAGAGCAGTACCATCAGCGATCTGTTCGGCAGCGATTACGATTTTGTGGTATCAAACGACCCTACAATATCGCTCCTGGATGCTCCGCAATTTTCTATAGGGGATCAAAAGGCTCAATCCGCTCCAACAATTGCACCAGACCCCTACGACCTCCTCTTCCCTCCCGGCGACAGCCTTTTTACATCTCATGGTACCAGTTTTCCCCCGCTTGTTACCTTTGATACACTTGACACACTTATCGACATAGCATATACAGCACACCAATTTCCTCGTGAGTGATGTTGAATCCAATGTTGAGCACATAATCTGGGGGCTTCAGCTTCAGCACTGAATGACATTGGCAATGATATACGTTACAGCAAATATTTAATCAAGTGGGCTATACAGACCTAGTTTGCGAGCGCAGCTCAAAGTCGGCTTTGTGCACGAGCACATCTCTGAGATTTGTCCAAATCATAGTCTTTGATCAATCTCTCAGCGCAAGTCATCCCAATCGCATAACCCGTACTTTGCGCATGGCAGTTAGGCAGGATAGGAGTAATGCTCAAGTCTGCAATACTCAAACCGCTCAATCCTCAGACGCTGAAATCTGGTCCAACCACCGATATTCCATCCTGCTTTGCCCCCATCTTCGCGGTCCCGCACATGTGCCACGTGGATACCACGCTGCGCTTACAATACTCTAGAAGATCCTCATCTGACTCGGACACTAGGCCCGTTAGTACGCCGATTGTATCTTTCTTGAAGTTGGGGTGATTCGCGACCCTCAGTAGACTGCGAAGAGTTATGATGGCCATCCGACGATCGAATGGATGATCCAAGACTTTGGGGTCAAACAACAGCGGAACACTGGGGTCTGAGGATTGCAAGGTTACCTGGCCTCGACTTTGAGCATTGAATAGGAATCCATTGAGAGTGACACAATCTGGGTGATCTGAAGGAAAATCTTCCATGAATCAGTGGATCGGAGCGTTAACGAGTGCCTCGAAATGTGGCACTGTTTCTCTTTTCAAAAATGCGCGTTCGGTTGATGGCAGGGCTTTGAATTCGTCAGACTGCATGATTTCGTCCGACTTGAACCGACCAATAGCTGATTCGTAACCAAAAACTGTCCAGGGTCCAGTACGCTCTGTTTCCCATTGCTTTTGGGCGGCTTCCATGGCTTTCTGATCTCCATAAAAGCTCTTGCGGTCAGTACTACCCTCCTTTCGCTTGAGCACTATGCTGAAGAAAGAGTGATCTCGTAAGCCCTGTCCTACAGCGTTGTTTTCAAGGACAATCGGTATGCCGAATTTTGCAAGTTGGGTTGCGGGGCCTATCCCAGAATGCATCAGGATCTGGGGAGTATTGGGGGCACCCGCACTCAGCATCATCTCTTTCGAGGCCAGGTCTGCAAGTTTCCTTGGTTTCTCGTCGTTGCACCGCATATGAAAGGACTCACAGCGTTGCCCGTTACTCTCCACTCCAATCACTCGCTTCTGGTCGTACAGGAGCCTCTGAACAGGAGAATTCACTTTCACGGTAAGATTCTCAGGGGCGTTCAATATCAAGTCTTCGGCCGATGATACGACTCCTTTTCGGACAGTTTTGATGGAAATAGAGATTCCTAGGGGGTGACCGGAGTTGTGATCTGGGTTGATATCGTAGCCAGCTTGCACAAACGCTTCCATCATTGACGGAAGGTCCCGCTCCCACTCACTCACAAATCCGACATGAAGAGGACTAGATGATCCGTGATTGGCGAGGTTTGGTGCCGCATACTTTCTACCGTTCATATCGGCTGGGACAGCATCGTGTAAGGTCTCCAAATCCTTGAATCGCCTCTTCATATTGTCCCAGCCGAAATGATCGTCGCCTACAATGTCTGCCCATTCCTCGAAGTCGTCACGGCAGCCAATACTGTAGGTGGCAAAGTTGATGGCGGTGGAGCCTCCGAGACACATTCCACGAGAATAGTCGATCTGCCGGCCATAACACTGTTCCTGCGGAACCGTCTTGTAGCCGCAGTTAATCTCGGGGTTTTGGAAAGCCCCCCAGCGTTGTCCATGTGGAATATTCTTCACAGGATAGTCTTTGCCAGCCTCGATTAAAAGGACCTTTGGACGGCTGTTTGTCCTGGCAAGCTTTGAAGCTAATGCACACCCAGCAGGGCCACCTGCAGGTATATGTTAGACAACCTGATGCTTGGTAAACTTCCTTAGTGTGATCAACTCACTGCCAACGATGATAAATTCGTACTCCGTCGTTGCTTTTCAATCACTTATTAGCTACGCGATGTATGGTAGTATGCATCCGAAATATGGTGCGGGGCCAATTTTCAAGTCGAGAGTCCGACTGCAGGAGTCTACTCCGTGCCGGTATGATTAAGAGAACTCGTACGTTCGCCTTCGCACAATTGCGGGGACGGCTATATCCCCAAGGAGTCGTCTAACTAGCTTGTTTACTATGGCGGTGCAGCCCGGTACCCGATATGAGCCAGGAGGCTACCCGAACACTAAGGGTGGAAAAACCCGGTCCTAGGGCCAGTGAAATCAGGGCAGTCCTTGACGACCTCGGTCCTTCAGCGTCACCTGCATTGTAGACATGCAATACCTAGCATAATTATGAACCCCAAATTTTTGCACTCTGACATACAGCTGGTTTGAGAGCTCATGCGGTAACTTTTTTGCATTTAACAAGACGCAGTGTCTCATTTGTCTTGCTTGGGGCTTGCACATGACTTGCAACGGGACCATTACTTCATCATTCACATAAGCCGACCCAGCATCCGAAAACTCAATTGCGTGGTCCATGCTTTGAGAACGAAACCTATACTACTTGATGGCGGTCAAAGCTTGTTCGTAATGTTGTTTGCTTGGCGAATTTCAACCCTCAAGAACTTTGAGCCAGTCAACGGAGCGTCAGAATTGCTTTCAAGACTGTGCATAGTGTAGTTTGTCGAATTCTTTGACCAAGGCTTTCAAATACTTGTACGCTTGAGGGGCTTCCCACGTGTCGCCATGGACGCCATCCGATAGATCAGCAGATATGCAGGTGCATTGTCTCGATTAGTTGGAGTTTTCTCTTTCCTGCTCCCTTATGATCTATGCTAACCTGCTTGGGTGGTAGGACCGTGTCGGATGCCGGGTCTTCCGTGTCGGAATGTGAATTGGACTAGGGGGTCCGGCAAGTCATCTTAACATGTATTCCTACAGTGCTAAGTCTAGGATTCATCCAACATTGTTTCCACCTCCATTATATCCCGCTTCACTCTTGGAACAATGGCAATTACTTCCAAGCCGACAATTCTATTGGTGCCCGGTGCATGGATGCCGTCTGACTGTTTTGGTCCGCTGCGCCATATGCTCGCCGAAGAGGGATATGAGACTGTTGCTGTCAACAACCCTTCAGTCGGCAGCGAGCCCGCAGACCAGACACTAGATACTGATGTTGCTGCTTTGCGAAAAACTCTAGAAAGACTGATTGAGCAAGAAGGCAAGGACGTGATTCTTTTCTTGCACTCCTACGGTACGTCTAAGCTTAGTCGATGATCCATTATCCACTTACTCACTAAAGGTTCCAGGTGGGGTCGTTGGCTCTTGTGCCAGCGAAGGATTCGGTGCAAAGCAGCGCGCAAGCGAGGGAAAGAAAGGCGGAATCACGGAAATCATATACTGCACTGCATTTGCACTCAAGGCTGGAGAAAGCCTTTTGGCTAAGCTGGGCGGGAAGATGTCTCCATGGATGAGAGTCGAGGTATCTTGAAGAGATGTACATCTGATACACAATGATTCTGACATGTGCAGGGCTCCAAGGTGTACATTGATTCAACTCCCGAAGACGGCTTCCCCGACCTACCAGAGGCCGAGCAAAAGAAATGGCACGGTATTCTGACTCACACTGCTGCCGGGGTCTTCAGCGGTGCTTCGACGTATGAGCCGTGGCATCACATCCCCTGCGCGTACTTTATTTGTGACAACGACACACTTCTCGTACCTCCAATCCAAGAGGCGATGGCCAATTCTATAGGAGCTACGATTCAGAGAAATACTGGAAGTCATAGTCCATTTCTTTCTGTTCCAGATCAACTTGTCAAAGGAATCAAAGCCGTGCTGGGGGAAAGTAGATAGTTATATAGGGATTTGCNGGGTTAGACGCAAAGTTCTTAAGAATCTTCAGCCTTGTAAGTCACAGCAGATTATGCTTCAGCCTTGCGTCGCCTGTGTGCATCCAACAGGTGCTAAAGATGGCAGTGTATCTACATACGCCCATTGATACGAATTGACATGTATACATCGGCTTCTGCTATCTCACATAGTCGACTCGCCTTACGCAGTAGGGCGTTGAAACGACCTTGGTGAATCGCAGCTGGCAAACGGGCATGTGAAACTCTTGAGGAACCCTGTAGCGCTTCTTCTTTAGATTTGCCATAGCAACCATTGGCTTGAATATATCCTAGAGTGGGAGCTCAAGATTTGAGGTTCTATCAAGGCTAACTGCATCTTCAGCTACTCCATCGCATCCAGGGTACAGCAGCCTCGAGATAGCTTTCCATTCATGTTCAAACTTCCATAAAGCCTTCAGATATCGTGATGGGTAACGTAAGGGTTTCTTTGACCTTGGTGTGGAAGCTGGTGGTGCTGTTGTATACGGAGAGTCGAACCTCTCGCCTTTGAAAAAGGCTTCGTGTTGCTTGCGATATGCGATGGATCGCGATTGCCTTCGAGAAGCATATTCTTGCTTTGGGGTGCGGTCCGACAAAGTCACCATTACCGCAGCTTTCTTGACTTCTTAAGCTTCTAGGGGGTTTCAACGATTAGTTAACTAGGAGTTAGGTAACATTGGTGTAAGAAGGTTTCTTTTAGCCATTATGGGATAGTTTTCCTCAATAAGTTATTTTTTCTACTCACGTCCATGGACCATTAATTAGCTATCAATCCCAACTATACCAGAGATATAATACATAGCCATTTCGTCGTTAGAATAGCCCATCAGCAATCTTCTCTAAGCTAGAGTTGCCATTCCTAATGCTCTATTAGCTTGCAACAAAGTATCAAAGTATACTATACTACTTACTCTCCACCGCTCTAGCATATACTCGACGAAAGCAATACGCACTTAGCCTCTCTTTATAACTATCCCGTTGCCCAATTCCCTTAAGCATATTGTTAAAGCAACCGTAAAGAAGGATATTGTCGTCTAAGACTATGCCGTTGTTATATATAGTCTAAAGGATAGGCTTCGGTACCGCTTCTGGCTTGTATCGATATTTGTACATCAAGCTACCTGCTGGCAGCTCCTTTGCTTCGATTTCTTGAAGATTGGCACAGTCTTGGAACACTCCGTCTGCTAGTGCCAATGCTAGAAAGTGCGTGACTGGACACATAGAACGCATGGCGGCTTCCTTATATAGGAGCATGACAGGTCTGTTTGTCTTAGAATTGAGGTTGTAAGATTCTTGGAAGTTTTCCTTACGAGTGTTTCCTGTTGTTCTGGTGTCCGCTCCGATTACGCAATCGTAGACGAAGGAAACTAATATATATGCTATTCTAGTAACGTATAAGATCTATATCGCCGTCTTAAAGACCTTTATTACTAGTTATGTTTCTAAGAGCCTAATTCAATAAACTCCCTCAGACGACTTCCTAAGAGCGTTATAATAATAATAGAGAAGGCTAGCTGGAGGCGTGCGCGAGGATGCGGAAACTAATATTCATTACACACCTAGATAAATCGTATTAAATCTTCAGCAACCAACAGAGGGACTACAGGCTTATTATAAGCACAGGTAGCTACCTTTTTGCTGAGTACGAGGTTATTTACAATAAAATTGGCAAGTGCTTTGTTCTCAGCTAGATTATATTTGTGACTAGTATGTAGCCTTACGAGTCGTTTAAGCGCCGTAAGACGATTTCAGATAGTTGTATCAGTGACATTCTCCTTAAGCTGACTAGTTCTGGTTTCGGCGAACTAGCGAAGAAACAACTATAGGTGATACACAGTTAGTGCTGAACGTAAGTTTTGCGGGTTCGTTGAGAATGGATTCAGTAAACCTAAGCTGTTAAGAAACCTACAAAACCTTCTGAATTGTTGATTCACTCTGACCAAAGAGTCATAATGTACTCGTATTGCTTGTAGCTAGAGGGGATCATTGTGGCTTTAATCTCCTCTTTTGTCAGCGGGGTAGGCTCTTGTTCTTGCTGCGCAAGAGAACGTAAGTGCTCGACGTCGACTTTCTTTCTCTTTGTAGGCGCCATAGTGAGCAGGAAGATTCAAGAAGACTGCGCAGTGATTGTGTTGAGAGTAGAGATGGCGTCAGGGGAAGGGGCGTAAGGCCCCTTTGCTGGCGGCAGCCCATTTTAAGACAGCGACGGTTAAAACAGCGCGCTATGATGAAGCTTAGCAGCTGGATTTAGCATGAATCATGACCATTAATGGTTGCTAGGGGCTGTTGTGGTGAGGGGCGCTGCGACAGAGTCGCGGTTTCCGTAAACAGTAGTAGTAACCGAGAGACAACACCACAAATATACCTGAACACAGCACCGTGAGTTTTGACGGATCGCACGGATTCTGCTGCATGTCAAGAAACTATGACCGTATGCTTCAGAATAATAAAAAACTAATTGAGTGTTATTATGGAGTCTTAGGACATTTCGCGGACTTGTCGAAATTCAAGAGGGCTCACGTGATGCTACGTATCGATATCCGGGGCTTGGCACTGCTGCACCGACAGAAATGGACATTCTTATCCTGCCTTTCGCACGCTGTAGAGAGATACCTAACAAAAGTTTAAAAGGCTAGACCATGTATGAGCGGCACCAATGAATCTTGTCGTCTGCAGTGCTATATTTTGTATCATATCTCCAACCGGTGACACACCGTTTACCTTTGCCTACCAACCATCTCTGCGCACTCAAAGAAAGGTGGGAACCCAAGTGTAGGGATTCGCATAAAGCAAACGATGACGCGATCGCAAGTTTTGTAGTAGTCTAAACCCAGTTCAGCGACAACATCTAATCTCGCCCAAAAACGAAACAATCCAGTCATGCAAACGTCGTCGTCGCCGTCCAAAAGAGATATTAATTGAGTTTGGCGCGTCTCGCTAATCAAACAAACGTTTGCTTTGAAATCAGAATAATTCACAGCGGTGATTTTTGTTTCAAAAACCAGAGACTGGGAGTTCCTTGGTTACCTTTTGCTGAATTGTGGGGTTTATTTCGTCCGGCAAGCCTCGGCGATCGCAAAGTCAAGACAAAACCATTTGTTTGTGCATGGTGACGAACGACTGGAACGACTTCTGCAACTAGATTATACGACAGTATGGTATGCTTTGGTTCTGCCAAGTTGTTGAGGCTGGGGATTTTGCTAATGTCAGAGCGTAATTAGGTGCACGCCGATTCATCTACGTTTGCCCATGGCATGAGCAAAAAGGAGGTGTATGAACAGGTTTTGGAGCAAGCGAGGGCGCTGTTTGATGGGCAGAGGAATTGGGTACGTGTTTGCGAGACGACGTGATGAACGACGAACCGAGTCGTAGTTCTTGTTAATCTCTGGATGACATGCTGACATGAAATCTAGGTCTGGTGAGTTACCCCGTTGCAATTTGTGGGATGCAAACAGGCTGTTTGGATGGAAAGAGAGAAAAGGTCTGACGTGTGGTTTCCAACAGCAACTTCTCAAACGCAGCTTCCCTCCTCTGGCATGCTTACCACTCACTACCAGCTCCTTCCTCAGCCGTCAATTGGGCAGGTTTCTACTTCACCGATCCGTCAAATCCTTCGCAGTTGCTGCTTGGTCCTTTCCAAGGGCAGGTAGCGTGTCAGGTTATTGCCTTTGGGCGCGGCGTCTGCGGGAAGGCGGCTAAAGAAGCGACGACGCAATTGGTAGAAGATGTGGAAAAGTTCCCAGGACACATTGCGTGTGATGGGGCGAGCCGGAGTGAGATTGTTGTTCCGATTGTCAAGGACGGGAAGGTATGTGACTCTTTGTCTGTTCACCTGCTTTCATTCTGGTGTTCATATCGGCGTTATGGCTAGGTACCGACAAGACATATGGATGCTAAAACAAGTGAAACAGGTGGTAGCGATTATCGACATTGATTGTGCGGAGCTCAATGGATTTACGACACAGGATCAAGAGGCGCTGGAGGAGCTGGCCCAACTACTAGCTGAGTCATGTGATTTTTAAGAGAAAGCGACGACTGTGCTAAGGGCATGATTTTGGTGACACGAATGCGTCACTAGGAGCGAGAAAAGAGTAAAAATGGCCCATTGCAGGATATGGAGTAAAAACGAAAGGCATTGATGCGCATCATGAAGACAAAGACATTGTACGGGATTTTAGTCAGGGTTGAAACAAGCGGAGGATTGTAATAAAGGTATCGAACTTTGGGACACAGGGAAACAATGGAATATAAACAAAAGGATACCCATTCGAATGAAAAGCATCAAAAAAAGGTTTATGCTGAAACCCGAGGATATTATGGCACAAGTGTCTGCTCCAAAATGATTTCTCACCACCGCCATGCAGATGAAGAAACACGGTCTGTACTGCCGTCTCAAGTCTGTAATCAAGGCAAGATTTCGGCCCAAAATCGGCAATAAGGCTGTTGAACTATGTACGCACCAGTTCCACAACAGACGCTGCAAAAAATGCCATGTTCCCGAGGCAATTGTGAGATTAGGCCTTCTAGATGCCGGACATCATTGTGAGGGATGCAGATGCTTGAGACGAGTTGAACATACCTCAGACGAGGTACCCGAATCACATGTTGGTGAGGAACGGGCGGTCGTAGTAAGTGGCTTTGATGAGATGATTTGATCTTGATAGAGTGCTGATGACAGGACAGCTGTTGAGAGATGAGTCAAAAGATATAGCATCGTCTTCTTCTTTGATTGTAGGCAAGGCGGATGCATCGGAGCCGTATGACATGTCCATAATCGCTGCATATGAAGATGATACTTGCAGTCTGCGGAGCACAGGAAGTAACGATGTGCCAGAAGAAGCTATTTCAGCCACTGCTGTACACATGACACCGATGGTACCCACGGAAATTCATATCCGGCATTCTCTTGAGAATCACAAACGAAAACAAATAGCAATTGTGGAAAGCATATCAGTGGGTGATGACAAGTCCTTGAAGCTTGGCACGTCTCTCGCTCAGGAAAATCTAATCAGATTTGATCTGGCATCAGGAGAAGAAGATGACATCCAGGCTCTGATCCATGGTGCCATAAAGGGGGATGCAGAGTACCAGACCAGGCTTCTAAGATTATATGGCGAAATTTCGGCTTCAGATGCGCCATGTGCCGTGCCCTGGAGTAGCTCACAGCGCAGTCTCATCTGTAAAGCGCGACTTGTCATGGGCCTTGAAATTCAAAAGGCTGCTGGGTGGGTTACAGCCGATGCTTTGGACAAGATATCGGCACAGTTGTCTTGTCATGATAATGAAGAGGCGCGCATGGGCACGGAGGAGTTTGAAGCTTATATCCGTGGTTTGTCCGACCGAGGGGAGGTGTCTGGGGGGCGTGCAACGCAAATTGTTATGCTTGCTTCTGACGGAAAGGCGGAGTTTGCTTGACGGATCGACAGCAGAGTGTTGGAGAGGCCGGTATAGATGTACAGCTGCAATGTGCTCAAGGCCACATGGAGTAAGCGCGAACATGAAGGAGGTTAGTGCGTGTCGCAGCGGGCTCCACCCAGGCGCCGGCGTGCATGCATGGAGCCTAGATCTCGTTGATCGCAGCCCGATAGCCATCATGCTGGAACGGATGATGTCTTTATTCGGCCGGTTGGCGTCGTGGCAGCGACAGGAGAAGACAAGTCACAAGACGAGGAGTTTGGCCAAGGAGCTCGCCGACTTGATTGCACAGCAGGCGGGCGGGGTGTGACTGCATTCGAGAAGGCCGGTACGTGGGCAGGGAACGGGCGTGGGTGTGTTTAGTCGATGGACTTGTATGCGTGCGTGGTAGTACTGGGGTGCTAGGAAGACAGGTCGAGGTAGCCCCGGCGCGCACTGCTTACTACATACATACTACGTACATGATACTGAGCTGCACAAGACGACCATTCCTGCTGCCCGCGTTGCCCCCAGCTCCAGCCTTGGAACCTGCCCGCCTGCTGTCATCTCTCCTGGCCTCGAGCGTCAAGCGTCCAGCCTTCCCCTCCGCGCCAATTGCGCCTTGCACTCGCCGCTTCGCCCACTTGCACACCCCGCCGCAGCCCCCCGACGTCATCACACCTACGCCCCGTCTTCCTCCCAACACCGCCACCCCCCTTGCGTTTGTCCAGAGACATCTGTTTGCTCAAAACTTATTGCTGCTCCCTCGAGCCTCGCTTATCTCAGCTCCTAACACCGCCCGCCCG